CTCAATGGCGACTCGCTTTCTCCTCCAGATCGAGGATCTCTTTTTGGGCTCTCTTCAGCTCCTTATTTCTGGTATGAGCTTGCTAACGCTGATGGCCGAATTCTTCAATCATAACCGACGCAGCTTGGGACTCAGGGTTTGGCGCCAGTGCACTGACTTGCTTCAGAAAGCTCTAAAGGCCATCGCTGTTAAAAGTCGAAGGTGCGACACAATGGCTTGCGCTTGAATGGCTTTGAATGCTAGAAAAAAACATGATGAAAGACTTTGTTGGGCTATGAATTTTCACAGGTTTGCCAATACGTAGAACGAATTCTGGCCCGACAAGAGAGTCTGACAGATTTTTAGGTCTCTCAAAGAGATACCAGACAGCAATTTCATAATTTTTGGCTTGCATCTAGAGATTGCGATCAAGAGCTACACGTGAACGAGTGCTCCGCGAATGTACGAGGGGAGGTTTGTGAGCCCGATGATTGTGAGCGAAATAGAAGTGATGCTAGTTGATGCATGCGAAAGTAGGGCTAGAATGCAACGTGTTCTTGACTCCATAGGCTCAATGTACGCGAGTGATTGCGTGCATATTTTTTGCACCCATGTGCAGCTACGTGTAGCCCGGATTATGGTCGCCTCGTTGGAGCAAGTCCGATTTTACTGTGAGCTGGGGTGGTTGGAGTGCAGAGTGAAGATTTACAGTACTAGCATGTACAACTCAGGAGAAACAAGTTTCAGTTCTCCGTTCTCGCCCGAAGTCTTGGAATGGAGCGGAGGTGCTGGCAAGCAGGTTGAAGCAATACTTGGCCAGTGAGCTGAGAATGCGAATGGATTATGGACGCACGTCCTCTTGACCAGCAGGCAAACTTGCAGCCGGTCATTGAATGCTGAGTTGCTTGGAAATGGGAGACAAAAAGAAAGTTCTCAGAGAGGGACTCTTTCATACTCCAGTGATAGCCCAGAGCTATCTACCACAGGATCACACTGAGGCACGCCACCACGCAACTCCATCTTCACACGCGCTTTTCTCTGCTGTGACCAGCGATCCGATTACTCGTGTATACAGCACAAAAGCCGAGTCCCAAACCCCCGTCCACAACAGCAAGAGATGCTATCAATGACATCAACGGAATCAATACCTGTCTCGTGAACCGAGGCATCGCCAGTGGATCTGACTTCGATCTGGGTCACATATACTGGCACCTTGGAATGCATTATTTGACATGCGCCTAGACCTGAGCTACCCAAATGGGTGGGCCAGAGTTCCTCCGGGTACCTTACAATTACCCGTAGATCAGCAAGATCAAAGCCGACTAGGTGGTTGGTTTGACTGCCTGGATAAGTCGATGGATATGCAACGAATCAGTTCAAAATTTGTACCCCCGATTGGCTTGCTTCATTCATTCCACGTTTGATTTTCAGACACCCCGGGAGACCTTGAAACTGAGAACCTGCCTCGCGTATCCCAATTGACACGAGTGGTGGGGTCTTTCTCCTTTCCCGCGAGGGCCGTGAACTGCCGGGTGGTCACCATCGGTGACTACGGATAGCTACGCATTTTTGCCCGCCTGTGTGGAAAAGTGATACCGCAGAGCGTCTGGTCGTTGATCATTCCCTCGTGTTCCCCCAGTCCTGGTCTATTTGATCGTGGGAACCTGGCCGGTGAACCTGAATCCAAGTCACGCACTCGTCCGCGGGGCCGGATCTCGTGCCGACGGGAGGAACACTCCCCCGTTCGTCCACCACCGCCGACATCCAACCCCGTCCTCGTCTCCCGCGCGATCGCGCCCACGGAGACCGTTCGTCCCTCGTTCGACGGACGACCATCGCTTCCGACGGCTTTGGTGACCGACGCGTGTTTCCCCTTCGTCTAGCGCGTCCACGCGCTGTCCAGAAACGTCGCTCAATCCGGACGTGTCCTCCAAACGACCGTCAACGCGGCCAACGGGTCCGCCATGGTATAAATCACATCTCCCATCCGCTCCGCGCTCCGTGGATTTTTCTTTTCTGCTTCTCCCCCGCCCCTCCGCCGCAGAGCACCATGGCCTTCGGCGAACTCTGCGAGAGCATCCGCGTCCTGGCAACCATGCTCGACAGCCACGACGATCCGGCCCAGCTGATGGACGATGACGAGGTACGAGTGCTGGCCCCGCGCCGCGGTGGCGGCGTCGTCGACCGGAGGGGGGCTCTCGAACGCTGACCGCAGTGAACAGTTTGCGACCGAGGTGGACGAACTCTACCGCCTGTGCCACGACTGGCGCCCTGGCCCGCCGACGCCGCCCCCGACGCGCCGCCGCAGGAGCAAGAACCGCCTGGTCAACCAGCTGTGCGAGGACTGGAGCCCCGGCGCCTTCAGCCCCGCGGCGGAGGCGATGATCTGGGGCTGGGCCGCCGACCCCGACTCCTTCTTCCACCCCGTCGCCGACCCGGCGCCCCCCGTCGCCCCCCGGTCCATGTTGGACTCGGTCTTCCGCCTGCTGACCCGGCTCGACGCCGAGATCACGGTCACGCACGTCCGCTCGCGGCTGCTGCTGTGCTTCCTCGTGGAGTTTGTCGACGACCAGATCGCCGGCGTCAGCGACACGGCCGAGATCTGTCGCCTGCTGGTGCAGGCGAAGCTGGTCTCGCCCGGGGTCGAGGAGACGCTGGCGGCCAGCCTCCCGAAGTGGCTCGGGGCCGGGCGCCGGTACCTGAGCCTGGCGGACGAGCTCGGGGGCTGGGGGGCGCTGCTCCTCCTCCCCCACTTCGCCCCGACGACGTACGAGCATCACTACCACCCGATTGGCCGCCGGTACCGGTCCACGATCATCCGGCGGCTGAGGCGGAAGGTGCCGGCGGCGGCCCGCGAGCAGCGCTCGGGGGGGATCACCGCGTACGAGGTCGCCGATGCCCTCCGGCAACACTGGCTGACCCAACGCCCCACGAGCTTCCTGGGCTGGGACCCGTCGCGGCGGCGCGACGGGTCGGCGGGCCAGTCGATCCAGCGCCGGCGGCGCGGACCGTCGTCGGAACGACGCGGGCGTGGGGTCCCTCACTCCCCACCACCGCCGTCGGTGGCGAGCGGCTCGGTGGGGGAGGAGGTCGCCCCCTGGCAGGTTTCCTGGTCGGCGGGTCCGTCGCCGTGGGACGGGAGTGAGCCCGGGTCCGACGGCCCGTCCACCACACAGCTCTCCTTCCTCGCCCACGCTGATGACTGTCGCTTGATCTTCCCGGGGGCGTCGGCCCCGGGGTGGTCTAGGTGACGCCCGGCGAGGGCAGCCTCTGGGAATCCTTCGCGGGCCGGTGGAGGATCGTGAACAGTGCGGCCATCTCAAAGACCAATCCCCCAGCTTGCTCGTTGGAACCGCGTGAGCAATCTTCGTATGTAGTGTAGCTCGTCGTCTTCAACCATACATGTTACTTGTGATTGCCTCCGGAATGTCGCAGACTATGCCTGCACGTTCATACGGAGTATTCCTGTGGCGTTGGCCTGGATTGTAAGGGCAGCAGTGAACTTTCATATCATCAGCTACCGTCAACGAGCGTTTGGGAGTGCACGCGCTTGACTTTTTCAGCGTGTGATCCCAAGCCTGGCCCGTTTCTCCTCGGTGATCTTGGGACTGGCTGATTTTCATCATAGCGAGAGCTTAAAAGTGATGACCAATTCAAACACGTTCACTGCCGTCAACCACTTGACTTCATACGAGCTTGACGCTCTTCGAGTCTCGCGTGTAATGGTCGACACTCGTCGATTTGGCCTCCAACGCCATCGAAACTGAAGACCGTTCGCTTGGAAGACCGTGATCAGGTCGCTAGCGTCTTCAATGAATCTGGGGTGATGGAGGTTGTTGTCCCACATTGGATGGTGTCGGTTGAAATTAATGGAAATTTGCTGGCGATGTGATGAGGTAGAAGTTCTTCGATTGACGTAGAGCAGGCTGCGTAATCGGACGGTGTCGATTTGAGCTGTGGGCCGGTATAAATGCCAGGCGCTGTTGACATGCGTTCGGTAAGTGCTAGCAGATGGCTCCTGGTTTAGCAAAACGTCTCGCTCTAGGCTCTGGGGATCGTTGATCAGCGCCTAAATCCTCGGTCCCTATTTCGTCAGGTGCAACTGTAGGATGCGAGGATTCTTCTCTAGCATCGTCCGTGGCGTGTTCACCGCTGCGATCCAGGCATCGCTCCAGTTCGTGTGGCCCTGCACATTGTCCGCGGGGTGGTGTTTCCTCGCATGACCACGCTAGGTGACTGAACCGTTGGCGCGGGGAGTATCTCTACTTCTTGATCTCGCATGTTTCAATCTGGGGGATGTATTGTTACCTGCGTACTGATATATGAAACAATCCTTGATGACCGAAGAATGGCGCAGTAATGTGTCGGTCAGAAAATCAGAAAACTGTCCTCGATGCCCTTGGGAAACATATATCCCTATGTATTGTAATGGGGAAACTGCGCCACTTCCCACCCGCGCCACTTTAGTCAAGAAGGGTATTTTAGCATCCAAGTTCCATAGCATAGAGAATCGAGAATCCTACACATCCCTCGAAAAGGGGTCTCATCTCTTATTACGCCTATTCAGGGGCCTCTGCTTCCTCCCTATGGTCCCCATTGAGCACTGAGCACCCCCATCGTCTTGTCTGCGACGTCAGACCGCCAGCGCGCTCTTCCCACCTCAGTATGTACTTGCAAACTAGTTCTTTAGTCACCAATCTTAATCTGTTTGATTTTGTGGGTCCCAAGTCTCGTACTGTAAGTACATTGATAAAGCCACATTTTTCCCCGTGAAACGAAGTTCTCTCTCGGCCAGAGGCTTCTGAACTTGTTCGTCCTGCATGTGGTAGGCAGTTGCGTAGACATGCACCTTTCCTTCTTCTGGAACAATGTGTCATTTTATTTGAAGATCATAACTGCTTTTAGCCATCCATTCTATCCCCCCACCTGCCTCCGCAGGTAGTAAGATAACCCCTCTTTGTCTACTCTGTGAGATACTGGGTCACTCCAAGACGTTTCCTGCCTATCTCTTTTCCATAATCTCATCCCGGTAATTCACTTGGTAGAAAGGGATGCGGTGGAAGCTCTAGGATATTCCCCGCCTTGTTTTTTCCGTCCATTTCGAATATTTTCCGGGTAGCGCTGTTTCCATCTAATTCTATCTTTCCTGGATCATCGCTTGGTAGACTAGGCGGTCCTTCGGGTATTGTCGTCTTCTTTTTCTTGTTCCAATAGAGTACTGACAAGCTCGATATAACAACAACCGCGGCCGCAGAGCAACCTAGTCCAATTCCCACTTTTGCGCCGGTTTGTAGACCATCATCGTTGTTCTCCCCGATTTTGGGGATTTCACTTGTAGCTGCAGCCGCTCTCGAGCCCGAATCGCTGTTTGTTTCTTGCACTGGAGACGCCGTTCCAGTGGCGGACTCTGTAGCAGGTGGAATCAGCGCACTGGGGCTTGGTGTCGACCGAACGAGGTGACTGGCGGAACTCGATGTATCATCGCTGGCATTCTGTGGAACTTCAGACATAGTTATATCAAAATTCCCAGTTTCATATGCATTATTGCCGTAGATGAATCGAAGCAGATAGTGATCGGCCAGACTAAATCTAGTTTGGATGGTATATGTTCCCAAAGTGAGATTGAGTTCATCCGTAATGTAGTCCGGAGCTTCTTCCATGTGTGACGCCGCAACAAACTGGATCAAGAGAGGGAACAATATCGAGTCGGAAGAGTTGTAAGACCAGGCAGTGGGAAGACCGTTGTAAACATTCACGATATCACCTTTCTGTGGATAGGTGATTCGGAATGCTGATGGAAAGTTCAACGTTAGGACTGCGTGTGGGAAGCGAGCTTGCGATGTGTAAATAAAATACGCTTACCATTGCTTCGAAGGACAATGAAGCCGAGTACAAATAGCAACATTGATTTCAACATGAGAAGGAGGAGGATGATGAGATCTGGGTATTGCTTCTCCGTCACCAAGCCGCAGAAGAAATCAAGTAGGCCAAGTTCTTCTGTCCCGCCTACGAGGCACTAGGATTAAATACCCGACAGCAAGCCGGACTTTCCATGGTGACCGCACGATAAGGCAGGCCAACGACGCGCTAATGCAGGGGGAAGTGCGCAAAGTGATATGGATGGCCAATCACAATATCCTAGCCTGGTTTTGCTCGGAGGATCGTCTCGAGTTGCAATAGCGTCGACATGGGTCGGGCCGTCAAAGTATCCTGTATTTCATATTCCGTGCGGAGCCCTGGATATTAGGTCAATTTATCAGTAAGACGAGGACAAGTTTTCCTTGGCTCTGGTCAAGCGCTGGGATGACCGCTCCGCATTTGAACGCCAAAAGATGGGGACTGGCGAGGCTCTCACCGACCCTTACATTTTCCAAAATTAAAACCTCAGTCCCCCCTAAAGTAGGGTTCGCTACCTAAATGAAAAGGCTCAGTGAAACGACGGTCTTTTTCCAGAAATTACGTTCTTACTTGACTCCTAGACCATCTCCCCACAACTATATGCCCAAAGCAATTAATCCGTGGAGATTCGGTTCGAGAAGGCTCTTAGCCACCTCTTCCAAAAATTCCAACCCAATGTCAGCAAAAGTGCACTGCAATTCGCGGTCCTTGAGGGTCGACTACGCAGGTTATGGAAAGGCATCGCTTGTTCAACGACGAACCAAATCGCAGGAGCTAAGTAGTGAACAAGAGCAACTGTTTGTGACAAAAGCGAATACTTTGATACGGTCGGAGCATCAACAAAATGGCCCTCAATCGTCATTGCTGCCAAGGATTCTTGAAGAGAAGCCCGCCATGACGAGAAAAGACTACCCCACGAATTGGCGACCACTGACTAAAAAATTTTCCTGAACGTCATCCCGCGTATTTTACAAGATGCCTTTGGACTTGCGGCGCAGCGCTGCACTTGACAAATCAGTCGTCGAGGGGTGTTGTTAAGCGCAGGAACAGATTCCTTCCCCACGCTTCTGCGACATGACTTGGACTTCAACAGCAACCGATCTCGGAGGTCGGGTGCAAACCACGTGAGGTTTGCGGGGGGGATGGGGGCGGGGGGTCTCTAGACTGGTCTTCCAGCGTGACAATGCTTGAAGAGCCAGTGAATGGCTTCAAACTAGATGATGATATACCGAAGATCGCGAGATTGGCGCTGATGACGAAGGCGAGGCGGTCCTAATTGCATACATCGCGCTGGAGAGGTTTAATACCTCCAAGTGGTGTCGCGAGAACAAAAACAGTCACAAGAGATTCTGTTCAAATAGAATGGTCTTCATCCAGCAATAAGGCGCGCTCTGCGAAAATCTTTCGGCCGCGCGGTTCCATTGCAGAAGACGATGTTTCCGTTTACTGTGTGGTTCCAGGTGTTTAGTTCCACCTCTCTGCGAAGCAAGGCGAACTTATCAGAGGTAGTTGGAGTCTGGTAAACATTAAATGACGCGGTTGCATTGTGGTCCACAGGAGCGATCTGTATCCCGGGCCGGGGCACTCGGATATCTCGAAGGACGCGACAAGGAACAAATGGAAAGAGTCCGCTTTCAGACCAGGCAGATTGCGAGGTGTCGTATCATTTTGGGCGCGATCTATAAAGATAGGTGAAGTCTGGCTTGCCGATGTTACCCACCCCTGCCCAACATGCCTGCTCAGCCTGTTCCCGGTATGCCGTATTCAGAGGACCGAAGAAACCCACATCACACGGCTGCAGAATATGAGACGTATGAGAAGGGAGAGGACGTAGGATAATACGGTTCGCAAGGTAGAACTCCATGACTTCCAGAGGCTTGTGGGGCCAAAACCATCACAGATAAAGAGTCGTGGCCAACAGGCCGCTCGGTCTCGAGTCCGCGGATCAAACACATGTTCGAATCAATACAGACTAATGTCGGTCTTGGTCTAGCCTGCTTTGGAGCAGGAAGAATACCACCCGGAGGTGGCTGAATGGTCCACGAACTGCGAAGGGTGGCGGCTCGCCAGATGATGAGAGGATGCAGCAAACGGCCATCGGCAGAGATACATTCAACCGCCGTGACCAGGGTCCACCTCACCGTGGTCCCTCGGTGCTTCCTGAAATCCTCTTCGCTGAAGAGCACTTTGAGATAGTTGAGCACGCTGAGAAGAACACCAGTCTCATCCATGTTATGGACATTCTCCAGAAGAATGGCCGGATCAACCAGCTCTCGGCCAATGAGGTCAAGCCAGTGTCGGACATTGTCCTCGATATGCCGGTCATCTCGTTTCCAATCGATAGCTGGAAGCTGTCGCGCTTTTAGATGCGGGTGTCGTCGATAAAAGCGCTGCGGCCAAATTTTCCTCGGATGTTGAACTTTGAGGCTAGGGTCGATAATCCGGAAATTCAACGACCCTTGGCGCACGATAATCAGATCAGCGATCGTAGAAAGTTGACTGGAAGAGGATAGCTCTGTCTGCCAACCGCAATATATATTCAATCAGGGATTGCTTCTTGGTCGCTCGGCAAGCTTTGGATTTGCTAGACCATGTTTGATATTTCCCCGGGGGTTGCGGAGTGGAGCTTGGTAACCAGTTGACAAAAAGCGGCATGAGAATTCAATAACACGGCAGCATATGCTTTGTGTCGGTGATCACCAGTTTGATCGTATAGATACTGACAGGATTCGGTTACAAGTCTTTTTCAGGGTGTTGTTACAGAACACTGTAACAGAGAGACGATATTAGCCCTGTCCTCTAACCGGGGAAAATGCTAGGATTGACCTTGGTCCTCTTTCTCCGCACTCTCTTCAAGCAAGAGAAATGTTGCATCTCATTTCTTTGACCGACTCTGCGATAAGAGCTCTATCTTGTGCTTTTCATTCGCTGGCAAGAGTATACAAAAAATCTTGCTCTTCAACATTGCAGATGGGTGAGTGGATCTAAATCCATACTTTGTTTGAAGACTTGGACAAAACTGGGCTAGGGTGAAAATGAATTTTGATAGAATGAGTGAGCATCTTACTGTCACAGAGGATTGTCGCAGTCGTTTGGTAGACTTCCGGTCTTGGTTGTTGGTGGGCCATTTTAAACACAGTGCTGATTGCGTAGAAGATGCCTATTAGCTCCGCAATGTGTACTGACAAGCGGTCCATCGGTCCAACCTGGACCTGTTGGGATTCAACTATCTCTGTGTTGTCGTTGAATGCGATCACTGCGGTCCCTAAATGACTGTCTCGTCCTGAGGTATCCGAGTAGATGATAGTATTTGATGTTGAGTGGATGGCCTCGGTCTGCTCTTTTGCTACTTCTTGATCTGAATTGACTTCGATTTCCTCGGAGGGATTGAGATGCTATAGTGGTAGTGGCTGTGGGTCGATTGTCTTTAGCTCGTTGAACCTATTAATGTCTATAGTATTCAGCGCTTCTGCTAGTGGGAAGCGAGCGTATGACCCTATGTTGTTTCTATATTTTTGGGTCTGCGAGAGAGTATCCTAAATGGGATGTTCTTGCGGTAACGTATAGAGATTTTTGACGGTGTGTTGGGCTCGGTGGCGAAGACGGAGGTGAGTGGGTAGGATGTGTGCTTCTACTTTTAAGGTTGTTGTGTTTATAGTTTTGAATGCCGATAGAATGCGGACTGGTGAGGTTCTCTGTACTGTGTTGAGGTTTCGAAGGTGATTCCTGTCTCTCAGTGGATCGTGCTACACGGTCGATGCGTCACGATCGGCGTGACGCATGCCTGATAGAGCTGTTGCATCTGTTCTGGCCGCAGATGTCGTAACCCGCCCAGAGCAACGGTGACTTTGCTTGCGCGCTTGATCGCTTGTTGTACGTGTTCTTTCTACTGTATCTCCTGGTTGAACCTCACACCTAGTAACTTGGCTGACGGCGAGACTGCTGTCCGTTACGATTATTTGGTCTTGTAGATGTTTGGCTTTCTTTTTGGTTAGGTGGATAAGTTCGGTCTTCTGGGTTGCGAAGTAGGACCTAGTTCTCCGCGCTCATGCTTCGATGCGGGGGATGTATTTGAATTGTATCTTGGCTTGATTCTCTGTTGAGTGGCCCATTCTCTAGTGGAAATAGTTATTGATAAATGCCGAGGCGCTATCGTGATGGGTGACGGGTTGGTTTACCAGGTCGGTGTTGGAGAATGTAAAGAGGATAAGGGAGCAGGGTGATCTCTGTGAGGAATCTGTGTTCTCTAGCGGTGCTACCTTCTTTCGGTAGTTATCAAAACTTATGCTAATATACTGATCGCTTATGAAGCTTGGTGTCTATTTCTTGGCCATGGTAGGGATTCCCCTGACTTGCAAGTAGGTATTGAGTCTTGTCTGTTGGACTCTATTTGGGCATCTGCTGAACTGAGTGTCCGGTAGTAGTCTATGTTTTCTCGTGAGGTATGAAAGTCGTGGGGCTAATACTGCTTTGAGAAGTTTCCCTAGTGTGTTAAGGAGTGAGATCGGACGGTAGGCTCTGGGGACTGAGTAAACTGGCTTGCCGGGCTTCCGTAATACCACGATCTTTGCGCTCCACCATTATTTTGGGTGGTACCCCGGACTTAGTGATGCGTTGGAGATCCCGGTAATTTTGCCATTCAGATGTTCCTATAGTTGTTTCTAAACTAGTATCGTTATATCGTCTTCTTCTGGTGCGGTGGCTCTTTTAGCAGCTTCGAAGGATCTTTAAATTTCTCAAGTTGGTGGTGGGTTGCCATGTGAGTTCTAATGGTGCCGATATTGTCATGTTGGTATCGGGTGAATTTGTTTCGGGGCAAAAAGAGTCTGAGAAAGCTTGTGTCTTATTTTCCTTATCGTTGATCTCCTAGTCCTTAACTGGCAGTGCTGGTACATATCCTCAGGTCTCCCGCGGTTTCATGTAGGTGGGCGTTTTCCAGAGTTTTCCTTTCCCGGATTCGTTTAGGATTGCCCCTCGTGTGATGCTTTGGCTTTCTTGATAGTCCCA